AGACCAGTACAGAGTGTGGGAAGAGAAGCCAAACGTGCCTGGGTGCTGCTTGTGCACAGCAAAGGATCCCAGTGCTCCCAGTATCCCCAGTTCCTGCTCTAGAATGGGTGTCCCAGTATCCCCAGTAACCCACACTGACTCCACGGCACCACTGCTCCCAGTATACCCAGTAACCCTCCCTGACTCCACAGCACCAGTGCTCCCAGTATCCCCAGTGCCCCCAGTAACTCTCACTGACTCCACAGCACCAGTGCTCCCAGTATCCCCAGTTCTGGCCATACCCAGTGACTCAGTTCTCTCCAGGCCCTGAAACGACTCTTCTGGGTCCAGTTCACCCAGTTCTCCCAGTATGCCCAGCTCCTGCTCTGGAGTGACTGTCCCAGTACCTCCAGTACCCCATTATTACTACAAACCAGTTCACCCAGTGCTCCCAGTATGCCCAGTTCCTGGGCTGGGACAAGGGGCTCGCCCCTCCCACTTCCTGTTTACATCCCCCTCTCCCAGTGCTCCCAGTCCCACACTGGTTTGTCCCCCAGTGCTCCCATTTCCATACTGGTTTGTCCCCCCCCAGTACCCCCATTTCCACACTGGTTTGTCCCCCAGTGCTCCCATTTCCACACTGGTTTGTCCCCCCCAGCACCCCCATTTCCACACCGGTTTGTCCTTCCCAGTGCTCCCAGTCCCACACTGGTTTGTTCCTCCCAGTGCTCCCAGTCCGTCACTGGTTTGTCCCCACTTCCACACTGGTTTGTCCCCATTTCCACACTGGTTTCCCCCAGTTCTCCCAGTCCATCCCCGGTTCCCAGCCCAGTTTGTCCCAGTCCGTACCGCAGGTGACCTTGGCCGGGGGCTCGGGGGGGTCCCGGGGGGGGGTCTGTGTGTGGGAGGGGCCGTCGGGAGCTGCTCCGGGGGTTGTTCCGGGTGTTCCGGGGGTTGTTCCGGGTGTTATTCCGGGTGTTATTCCGGGTGTTGTTCCGGGTGTTGTTCCGGGTGTTATTCCGGGTGTTATTCCGGGTGTTGTTCCGGCTGTTCCGCTTCCGCTTCCCGGAGCTGGAACCTGGGGGGGAAACGGGGTCGGAGACGCGCGGGGGACCCCCGGGACCCCCAGGGACCCCCAAGGGACCCACTGGGATTTACTGGGACCCCCAAGCACCCACTGACCCCACAGTGACCCCCAGTAAAACCCACAGTGACCCCCAGGGACCTCCAGGGACCCACTGGGATTTACTGGGACTCCCCTGGGGATCCCCAGGACCCCACAAACCTCCAGGGACCCACTGGGACCCTCAGGGACCCTCAGGGACCCCACAGTGACCCCCAGGGACCCCCAGGACCCCACAGTGTCACCCAGGGACCTCCAGGGACCCACTGGGACCCCCAAGCACCCACTGACCCCACAGTGACCCCCAGGGACCTCCAGGGACCCCACTGGGATTTCCTGGGACCCCCAGCCCCCCCAGGAGCCCCCCAAAGCCCCCCCAAAGCCCCCCCAGGTCTCACCTGTCTCCCAGTGCTCGGGGTGGGGCCGGGGGGGGCTCGGGCAGGGCCCCCCCAGGGTGGGGCCGCAGGGGACGCGCTCAGGGGACACTGTGGGGACACGAGAGACCCCTGTGAGACCCTCGTGAGACCCCTGGGGATATGGGGGGGACATGAGGGGACAGGAGAGACCCCTGGGAGACCCCCTGAGACCCCCGGGACATGGGGGGGACATGGGAGGGGACACAGGGGGAGGGACACTGTGGGGACACCCCAAGACCCCCCGAGAGACCCCGAGGGACACGGGGAGGGGGAAAAGGGGTGACGGGGGGGACACGAGGAGGTGACACTGAGGAGACATGGAGGTGACACGGGGGGACAGGGCGGGGGACACAAAGGGGGGGCATGAGAGGGACGGGGGGTGACAAAGGGGGGCACTGGGGTGACACAGGGGTAGGGCAGGAGGGGGTGTGGGTGACACAGGGTGACAAGGGTGACAAGGGTGGCACTGACCAGGCCGAGGCCATTTGAGGGTGACACAGCACAGCAGGTCGGGCCTGGTCAGGGGGGTGTGACAGGGTGGCACAGGAGGGGGTGTGGGTGACACAGGGAGGTGACAGGGGTGACACAGGGTGACACAGGGTGACACAGGGTGACACAGGGGGGTGGCACTGACCAGGCCGAGGCCGTTTGAGGGTGACACATCTGAGCAGGTCGTGCCTGGTCAGGGGGGTGTGGGAGTGACAGGGGTGACACGGTGACACAGGGAGGTGACACTGACCGGGCCGAGGCCGTTTGAGGGTGGGTCAGGGTGGTCAGGGGGGTGTGTGGGTGACACAGGGAGGTGACACCGACCGGGCCGAGGCCGTTTGAGGGTGACACATCTGAGCAGGTCGGGCCTGGTCAGGGGGGTGTGGGGGTGACACGGTGACACAGGGTGACACAGGGGGTGACAGGGGTGACACACATGACACGGGGTGACAGGGGTGACACACATGACACAGGGTGACAGGGGTGACACAGGGGGGTGGCACTGACCGAGCCGAGGCCGTTTGAGGGTGACACATCTGAGCAGGTCGGGCCTGGTCAGGGGGGTGTGGGGGTGACAGGGTGACACAGGGAGGTGACAGGGGTGACACAGGGAGGTGACACTGACCAGGCCGAGGCCGTTTGAGGGTGACACATCTGAGCAGGTCGGGCCTGGCCATGGAGGTGTGGAGGTGACAGGGGTGACACAGGGTGACACAGGTGACACAGGGAGGTGACACTGACCAGGCCGAAGCCATTTCAATGTGACACATCTGAGCAGGTCGGGCCTGGTCAGGGGGTGTGGGGGTGACACACATGACACAGGTGACACAGGGAGGTGACACTGACCGGGCCGAGGCCGTTTGAGGGTGACACATCTGAGCAGGTCGTGGCGGGTGACGAGCCTCAGCAGCTGCCGGAGGTGGCCCAGGTCCCCCTCGTGGCACAGCCCCCTCCTCTCCAGCTCCAGCAGCAGCTCCAGCCCGTTGCGGGGGGGTCCCGGTGCCCCCCGGGGGTCCCGCGGCGCCGGGGGGGGAAGGGGGGTCCCGCTGTTCTCCCCGTCGGGCTGGGGGGG